TAAACCTTTTCAAGTTATGTTTGCCTTCGTATCCTTTAATAGAGAGTTATGTGTAAAAAGAAGGCTGAGAAAAGCTTTGAAGATAAAAAGATAAAGGATTTCGAAATCATCGTGAAATGCTGTTATGAAATGAATTTGTACAATGATCGAACAAGTGATCGAATACTTGTTGATCGAACAGATTATCGATAATCCAAGTGTTACACAAATGAAACTTTAGTCATTGATGATCGAACAAATTATCGATAATTAAATAATAGATAACTTTATCGATAAACAATAAGCAAAAGTATATTCGGAGAAAACACATGCTATGTAGGTTGATCGAATAAGTGATCGATTAATGAGTGATCGATAAAGTTATCGATAAAGTAAAACAAGGAGATTTAATCCTGTAAATTCAAAGAACTGATTTATCGATCACGTTACGTGAAAAACAGGGTAGACATGTAAGAGCAATGATCGATCATATTATCGATAAATGACTGATCGATGAGGTAATCGATAAATGGAGACTAAAGCAAAACATAGAATGAGTAGACCGCATTACCATTTATCTGTCTTCTCATCGATAATCTATTTATCGATCATGTTATCGATAAATGCCTATTTATCCATAACGTTAACCTTGTTTATCGATCAAGTGATCGATAAATACATTTATCCATAATGTTATCCGAAAACCATTTATCCAACAGGTTATAAAACCTTAATAATATGTATGAAGATAAAAGAGAAGAATTGAGGAGATAGTACCAGTAACTCGATGAGTATGTAGTCGCTTGATCAGGCTCAAGTAACATATGATAATGGCTTTTCATTTCTTCATCTCTTCTAGATCTTTTACTCAATAACATGTTTGAGTAGCATGTTGCTTGAGAACTTAATCGTTCAGTGTAGAACTTCTGGTCTTTGCCTCAATAAATTCGAAGTCTGATTCCAGCAAACTGAAGGTGAACTTTGGGTGATCATAAATCTTCCAATTCAACTCCAAATTTTGCAAATGACCTATCCCCAGAAAGCTATTTGAGTCTACTTTCTAATGCAATAAGAATCACCCCAAAATTCGTTGTGGTTGCAAAGTTATCTTCATCACAATGACTAAAGGTCGGAATAAAGGCGTTAATCCTTACTTCAATCTTTCGAGCAACATATCTCCCTCATATGAAACTCTTTGAAGGTGAATTTGGTGTCTATGAACCGTGTTCTGAGTCTAGTTTCATAGGAATCAAGTTTCACCTCAAACGGATTTGTGGTTTGAGAGATATTGAAGAAATACCGAACCTATGTCAGAGCTGAACGAAGAACAGAGCATAACAGAGGATGTGTTTTTATCGATAATTTGATCGATCATCCAATGATCGATCAATTGATCGATAATTGCTCATGAAAATCACCTCTCAAGCTTATTTTCCATGTTTATATGAAGGGTGACTCAATATATGATGGTATAACTTCCCGGTTGGATATTTTAGCTTCCGATTGAGCCATTCAAACTTCTGATTGAGCATTGCAACTTTTAACATCAAATCTATGAACTTGAATCTTGATATTTCCATTTGATCTTGCAAGTTCTTCTTTTCTCAATCTCTCTTCTTCTTCTTCCTCTTGATCATTCTCGACAACTCAAAGTTCAAACTCTTTTCTTTTCTTTGAGGAAACTACAAAAGATATTAAGTATGATAGTTAGTCAAAATATGAGGTAAACAATTTATGCAAACTTTTTGCTCTATTATTTGACATCATCAAAACTAATCATATCTAACAGCGCACACAACAATGGGTTACCGGGAGGAAATGCAGTTGAAAACTGGTGATTTCTCCCCCAGCCCATAAATTAGATGTAGTAACAAGCTCTTTTTCGAAAATCAAGTTAATTATTTCTCCAAGAAATATTATTAAATGTCTTAACCCCAAAAACGTTATTTTTTGGATTCTAAAAGTTGAATACGTCACCGTTTACAAATTCTTGTGGCCTACTGGACATGTCCTGTGAAGTTCGCTCTCAGCCGAATGTTGGCACCCAACATTTGGGACGCTTCACCTTCAATGGAAATGACCGTCATTTCCATCGTGTCTGTTCAGAGGAATAGAGGGATGTGTCTTTGGCCTTATGTGCCTATTTGCATCTATATAAATGCATAGTAAGGGAGCACTAGGATTACGCTATTGCCTCCTGTCTTCTCTTGTGATCTTAACCTCCTGAGTTGTCTTCCCTTTCACTGTTCTGTTACCTTGCTTTTCCATGAGAAGAGTTCGTTTGATCCTGAGGAATGCTGCTTTCTGAATCACAGAGAGATTGCGGAATATCTCTTAAGGACAGTGTCCTTGTGACGTGACTCAAACCATTACATTTTCCTGCTATCACCAACAAAAATTTCCATTAAAAACAGAAAACAAGCAAGTTATTCACAATGATGACAATGCCGCCACCAGATTTGTGGCTTAAGATGAGGCCAAATGGCATGTCATCCTCAACCTTAATGGTCTTTGTAGCCCCAACAGCTCTGACTGCGATCTCAAGCCTTCTTCTAGCAACGGTGGAACCTTTCGTGTTCTCAACCATAAAAAGGGAATCCGAAACAACCCTTTTGGCTTCACGAAGTGAAATGCCCTGGAAAGACATTTTCTAGAGAAAAGAACCAAGAAAATCATAAATTCAACTGGGCAACAGTGAACAGAATGAATAATACCTAGGATTGAGATAAAGGATTAAGGAGAGGGCTATACTTGAACTACTAAGGGAGTTGAGTAATTTTTATGGAGTGGTCGTTGGAAGAGGAAGAGAAGGTGGTAGAGCCTGAGGATGAGGAAGCGGCTGCAACAACACCAGACAGAGCTGATCTTACGAATGAGAGAGTTCAGAGTTGTGGGGACGAGAATGAAGTGAACCAATTTCGAAATGAACGCTTCAGGGAAGCAAAATTAGAGAAAGATGGTTCTTTTGTTTTCCTCACGGTGGCAGATAATCTTTGATTGGTGGGAAAGAATGACAGCCACCAAGTCATTCCAATTATTTTAATGGGCAAATTACAAAGTAGGACGCTTACCCAATTTTAATTTTTTGTTTGGATGAAGACATGGTGAATATTTTTTTTTTTGGGAACACAAAAAAAGCCCCCACTAATAAGTTACTCCCTCCGTTCTTTATTATAAGAGACAAATAACCAAATTACGTTAATAAAAAAAACAGTTAAAATTAGTTGAGAACAATTAATGTGTAAAAAGTATAATGTTTTTTCCAACAATGCCCCCATTAATAAGGAGAGAGAGTATGAGAGAGAACAATTAAATTATTAAAAGAAAGAGAAGTGGGAGGGAGAGAGAGTATGAGTTGGAGACAAAATAAATAGGGGTAAAATAGGAAATCAATACAAAAAAATAGAGACAACTTTTAAGTGTCTCTTATATATAGGAACATGCCATAAGCATCAAATGTCTCTTATAATAAGGAATGGAGGGAGTATTAGTTTAGATGGTAAAGGCCCTCACTTTGGTCAAGAGGAGAGTGTAAGTTGGAATGTTACGAAGCACAATTATTGGAAAAGATGAAAATTCTTTACGCTCTAAGCCTCGGAAGGAGATACCCTTGATCAAATTAAAAAAAAAAAAAAAAAGAACCTCAAGACTAATTACCCAACATCAGAGAATTGTTACCATCCGTTTGGACTAAGGCGCTAACCCGCTAAAAATTGACAAGACAATCTTCTTCTTTTTAAAGTCAGCACTAAAATATAATTAACTATTAGTAATATATTCATTACTTTTTTTTTGGGCCATGGAAAATAGATTCATTACTAAAACAAATATAAAATGCCAAAAGGATTTGTTAAACGCATATTCAAGTATTTTTATTAATTAGTACTTTTATGTAGATCTTGAGAATCAATTTATGATTCAAGTTCAATCATATTTAATTATTAATATGATATCTTTGTAAAATAAAAAAATTTATGGTAAATTAAAAGTAAACAGATAATAACTTAGATTTTAAGATGGCCAAAAAAATAACTTATATTTTAAAATTCAGGAAATGTATATTGTATAGTTACTACTATATATATTTTAAATTTTGATTTTTTTAATAAAAAGACAAATAATGTTAATTAAAAAAAAAGGAAACATTATACGGGAAATCAGAAAATAAATTAGAAAAAGATGCAGGAAAAAAGCTAATAACTTCAATGTTTGTTCGAGAAAATAAGATAGGAATATTGAGATAGTGTCTTCGCAAAATATCCATAGAGGGCAAAGCCTTAAATAGAAGCTTTCACATGAACAAAAGATACTTAACTGGGAGAGATATAAACCATAAAACTTTCCAAAAAGAATTGTTAACTCTAGATGTTGTATCAGGCACCCCAAAAAAAAAAAAACGACCTTCATTTTTTCCGGCCTCTTAAATTTTCGCAGTAAAACATCTATGCTGCAAGAGTCCATGCGATTATAAATAAATTTAGGCAGGGAGCACAGAAAATTTGATTCTTTTAAAAAAATACGCTAACTTTAAATACATACTTTACAAATATTAAAATTTGATGCGCGTTTGTACACCAGGCAAATAGGGTACGGAATATGAGCAATTTATCCTCCAATTTCGATCATGTCATTTTACATGAAAAATTTTATTGGGTATTTGTCAAATATCTTAAATTATATTCTTAGCCATGTGAAACTATTTTTAGAAATAAGATAACACATTTGTTTTTAAATTCATTTTAACTCCCAGAATTGTCTCATCAGACTATAACAAATAACATTTCTCTTGTTTTTTTCAGCAAACAAAAAAAATAGTGGTCAAGACAACGAAATATAATTTCAAACTTGTTCTTCAATGTCTTCCTTTTTTTAACCATTAGATAAACATTTGAACATATGTGTGTCTACGTGTGTGCATCTATGTATCACTTGCAAGAAACATATATTATTCAGTAGAAATTAAATACATGGGTAGTGGTATAATAACGGCATGCACGTACAAACATCTCATGGCCAAGGGATTATTTTACATTTCTCTTGAAGATGCCAGGGCCATAGGTAGAAGAAATCACATCAAGAAGAAGAGGGAATTGTAACAACACAAACAAGGTTATTGGGACACTAGCAATGATAATAACAGAAAGGTAAGACCATGAGTATGTATGCTTTAGCATGAGAATAATGCATAAACAAAACGCTACCATCATGGTTAAAATGGACAAAAACAGTGTAGAAAGGCCTATGATCAGCTTTTGTGGTAAGGATAGGAGGAAGTCCCCTTCAACATAACGTGAGGTAACAACCCCTAAAAATGTCAGCACAAAAGTTGTCGAAGAAAACAATAACAGCGTATCTGAGATCACGAAGAGTATATATAACTTGTCTTTCAAAAACATTGGGTAGCCAGTGTTTTGATCATTCCCTCCGGGAACAATAAAAGCTGCTGCAAACATGATGGTAACAATTAAAGCACCAACAACAGAACAAGAAGTTGCTATATCTTTCATCCATTTTTCTCCTGCATCCCTTAAATCTTTGTGAGTTTTTTTGAATATATCCTCTGGTCGTTCACCCCAACTATTTTGAGACACCCTAAGTCCAGGAGGTACTACCCTTTCAACTTCCTGTATGCATTATTTCATAAAAATAAAATAACATAATTATATAAGAATGTGTTAAGGTGTAAATCTGCTCCATAAATTTTCACTCAAAAGCGCTGGGTAGCTGGAAGTCTTCTTTTGTGCAAATTTACCCAGAAAGTTTAAAATCATAGCAATGTTACCCCCTACGAGGTTAGAAATGTTAATGATTAATGTTAATATTTTAATAGCAAGAGGCAATATTGTTATGATTTTAAACTTTATGTTTGCATCCAAAAAAACTTTTAGGTGCCCACTGATCTAAGTAAAAACTTTGGAGACAAATTTGTACTTTGACCTTATATATATATATATATATATATATATATATATATATATTCTAACCTTGAACCATTGCATTTCTCTTTGCATCTGCAAAGCTGCACCAAAAACGCGATTAAGTTGGTTAGAAGGAACCAGCTTGGCTGCAATATGCAGCATGCAATGTCCAGAGGTATCTACCACTGATGCTATCAAATTCTTGAAGCGATACTGGTGGATTAGGTTGAAAACCTCAGCTTGACGACGTTGAATAGCACAGAAGAAAGTGCTCCAATTTCCTAATCTTGAAGTGAATTGGATTAATTGTGGGTTTGTTTTTGACACTTCAGACAAAAAATCAACAAGCCCTTCTTTTGCCGCAAGGTACAGTGTATTTGTGACCATATCAGGTTGTTGCTTATCCAAAAGAGGTGCCCTCCGACCAAGTAGGTTTAGAATTTGAGATGCTCGTGCATGGAGCAACTTCAGCTCATATATTTCCTTTACTTCTATATATATATATATATATATATATATATTCATAACTCACATATAACTATCTGTAGGTTGTGTTTAAAATATTTGAAATTGTACAATGTGTGAAATTTCTAAAGGATTATATGATATACCTAACAAAGTACAGACGTTAGAGATGAACCGGTGCAGTAGACCATGCCCTGTTGCAAGCAAAGTATTAAAAATTCATATTTGACTTCATTTTTAAATCATTTGAGAGAATTTAGAAGTAAGCTTGGGTTTTCTTACACACGCATGCTTTCTTTAAGTATATATACATACCTTGAATGCTTTTATTGTCGCCTTCTTGTTGAATGTCTAAACAAACATTATCTGTTATTGTAGTTGATGGTATAGGTATGGCTTCCACAAAAAGGAGAGACAAGAGGGGGGAAAAAAAAAGAGCGTCATTTAAGGTAAAACAAAAAAATGGATAGAAAAAAAGCTTCCTTACTATATGACATAGTTTAAGAGTCTTTCACGTTTAAATGGGGGAGGATGTTACAAGAGATTATTAGAGACATGCAGAATTAAACCGGAGAAAACTTAAAATGCACTTACCTTTTTTTGTCATTAAATTCTGTAAAGAAAGATATTTGAAAGGTGGTGAGAGACTCACAATGATAAATCCATCTTTTCCAGAATCCAAGTTGACTTGCACTCTCAACTGCAGCCGGCATGATTGCTATACTGGCCACTGGCGGCAAAAATGATATCTTCGCATTGTTCAAGCAGATGCAGAGCAATATCTGTAATTATTATACATAGTCATGGCAAGTTGCGAGATAAAGTGAATAAAAAACAAACAAACAAAATTAGATAGAGCACTATCTATTTATTAGGACTGGGAAATTTCCACGTTAAGAGCTGGGTAGTTGCGTAGGTTTGATTACCAAGTTCACCAGCTTCGAAACATGCGCAAAGAAGTCGAGAACCCAGGTAGCCATTTTGGGGTTTAAGGACTTCCAATGGGGTTTCTGTATAGAGAAAACGTCCCATTTCTTTCTGACCAGCACCAATGGCCAATGCAACAGGAAGATGATATCTCAAGTCTGGAATCCCAAGTATGCTTCTATTCTTATAGAGCATGCATTTCGCAATTTGAATGACCCCAGTTGATGCAGCAATTGCAAGTGGAGTAGAGCCATAATCATCAACTATTTCAAGAAATTCTGGGCTAGCTAATCTCACCAACTCCTCTACTATTTCCAAATGTCCAAAAAGTGCAGCCACGTGGAGAGGTGTTCAATTTGTAGCTGTAAGTTTTGCAGTCAAGGCACCTGGATGTTGCTCAAGGAATTCTTTCGCTGCCTCCCAGTTGTTAGCACATATAGCATTGTACAAAATGCTCACATCAAAAGAAGTCGCTGCTACATTCACTGTAACCAACAATTGATGTGTGTATATGTATATTAGCAGGAGTAGTAATTAACTTTTCCATATGAGTATCTCCTAATTGAGTTGTTTTCTAATCACACAGGCTTGGCCTGACCTAAAGCCTGTTAAAAAAATTTGCATTTAAAAAAAAGTTTAAATTTCAAACAGGCCAAAAAATACACCGAATCATAAAGCATGTATTAAGGTTACCTGATGGTTTGTGGGCGAATCTGTCACGGAGAATGTGCCAGGCAACCTTGGCTTCAGGGACTCCTTCTATCAGACGGCGAGTCTCCGGCGAGCATGTGATGCGTAAGATGCGCAATGCTTCTTCATTCTTTTGTCTCCAGGAAGGATCATCTTGATGAGTTGTATCATCAAGGATCACTCCCCAAAGATGGTGAACTATCAGATAGTTTTTAACCAAATTAAACCACACTCTAGAGTTGTCCTTCGTAAGTGGAGCTATAACTTTGCCGTTATAAACACGTCTCAGCCATAACTCACTCACTCAATCTGCAATTGGAGAACGTTTCATAATTAGAACATATTTACATGCAATATAATTCTTCAAATTAGACCTACGTGCGTACGTACTTTATGAAGCAAAATCTATAACCTCAGAATATGTACCGACCCAAACTCTTATAGCATTAACGGTATTAGAACAAACAAGGAGGTCAAGTTAATGCACTTGTATCCAAAACTGAGAATCGTACTAACATTATATGGTGTTTTATTGAGCAAAAGGAATGTGTGGTTGCTTGTGTAATTTGCCATGAATCACTGACTTTATACCTGCACCCACATTCACGTTATCGTTATATTCTCATCCTTTTTCTGATTTTAATTTATAAATCCTTCCAAACCTTTCTTCTTGTTTTTTTTTAGTTAGCCAATCATCCTAGCTAAATTCTGGTTTGTGTATCGAGCTGTCTTAGTCAGAAGTTACTTTTGCATAGAATTATCTAATCAGCATTCCGTTGCATTTTAATGATTAAGATTAAAGCAGACATAGTACAAGTTAACAATCTTTGATTAAAAAAAGCAACTTATATATATATATATATATATATGAAATTCTTTTTTTACGTTATAAACAATCAATCACTTTCGTCTTCGTCAAGCTCTAAAAATTTAGGTTGACCGGCATAAAATATGAGAAAACTCGCATTCCTTAAGGCTTAAAACATATTAATAAACACTTGACATAACAATTATAATACCATTGATAATGTCATAATTAATATAAAACTCTTGAGCATGGATATAAAAATTCTAAATCATATGTGAACAAATTCCTTGTCATAAATATAAGACGGTTCGGCTGAGACATTAATGATCACTTATTCAAAATAATAAAAGAGCACGGGGATCCCCCTTGTATATCGGTTACGTGGGGTATCTAAGTAACGAAAGTAGACGCATATATAAGTGTATACTTGGATCTATATTAATTAGCAGTTGTTCCAAAATATACATACAAACTCTGATTAGTAACGAGGGCCTTCACTCTTTACTTGGAGGCGCAGGGTCAATAGTGCTATCTGAGATGAAAATAATTTATCAGTGAACAACATTCTATTAATTAAAATAAGATAAAGCAAATGCTGAACAAATAAATTATGCAAATATGATTTTGTAAAATAAATGACTTATTGTTGCTCTTAATTTTTGAGTAAACCACTAAAACATATATATATATATATAAAGCATTTTAATATACAAAATTAACTAAGAATTTTAACAACTTATTTATAAAATCAATTTACAAAATAGTGCAAAAAGCGTTTTTTTCTTAGTTAAGGATTTCATCAGAATGGACAACAAGCATGAATATACAGTCTACGGGGCCAAGCAAACAAGCCCAACTGAAGTCATGAACACAAACCTTATATTGTTGTGTTTCTGTATTTGGGAAGATTAGTACATGTGTTTATGATAATTTGAAGCATCATTATGAAGGTGTCATTAATTGATATATTTATTATCACCAATCATTAGAAATATCAGTAACAGGTACTCTAAGTTAAATTTTCCCCCTTTTTGTGAAATCAAATTTTTTACACTCATCAAATATATATATTACTATTAAATTAATTTAAATATCATATGAAGCAAAGATGATGAGTAGTAGTGATCATATACACGAAAATTCAAAACTTGATATCACACTCACTCTCCTTCCACTTGATTCAGCAGGATTGAGATAAAAATTGAAACAGGATTGAAGCTTGCATTTGATATATGATGAATTAACATTACTCTAATGACTCAATCAATCTACAGCGAACGTAATCATAAGCTGCTTTCAGGGAAGAATGTTCTCAGCGGGGCCGCCATGATCATACATATTAGAGGCGCAACTATGGCTGAAAAATCTGCCTAGATTACCATAAAAAGATATTTTCATATTTCAAAAGTTGTTAAATTAAATCAGTTAACAAAAAGAAATGAATTCATTTGATGTACTGAAGCTTAGAATATTAGAATAAATTAAAAATTTAACATTAGGTCACACTGCAATGATAAAACCAAAAAAAAAATATTTACAAAGATATAACAATATCCAATCATGACTATACGTAAATGATAATTATAACAACCAAAATTCCCCAAACTTACAAATCCAACAACAACTTTGAATTACAATGGTCTTATGACTTGCTATTTGGTTTTTTAAACACAACGAAGGATTATAATGGTATAATAAATCGGCTTTGAACATTAGGTCGATGCACACAAAGGAGGATAGTCTCTTATGGCTGAAACTCTTCTTCTAGTGAAAGTCTTCTTTTGACATGCTAATTGAATATTTCCATCATCAAATGTTTGAAGCTTAGCCTTGCCACTTGTCTCTTCAAACATTAGACCCAAATATCATCTTCTTTAGGCGTAAAAATAGTCCCTTATTTCTGTGAAAATACAGCAAATTGGTCCTTAAAGAGACCATAGAGGGACTAAGTTATTCCCTTACTTTTACAAAAGCAAAAGACCATTTTGATTCAAATGAAAAGTTGAGGGACCAAAGTGATTCATTTCACGAGAATGAGGGATCAAAATAATATTGAACCCATTAAATGTTACCGGCCGACGTATTAAAATTTCAAGGAAAATTAAAAACAAATCTTAGTAAGAAAAAGACAAACCGGAACAAAAAAAATCATTTTCATTATTAGGCTAATCATATTTTTTTATTAAGTACTTAATGATACAATCATTAATACATATATGCTTGAAGAGAATTCATCCTAGAAGTCATGCATGGCCTGTGGACATAATTTTAATGACTTGTTATTTAATTTTAATTAATTTTCCATAAATTTTAATTAACTTCTGTTCTGACATTTTATACATATATAACGTGCAAGAAACATATATTACGCAATAGAAATTAAATATACAGGTAGTGAGAAAATAACGGCATGCATATACATATATTTCATGGCCAAGGGTTTATTTTTCATTTCTCTTGAGAATGCCTGGGCCATAAGTAGAAGAAATCACATCAAGAAGAAGAGGGAATTGTAACAGTACAAAGAGGATTACTAGGACACTAGCAATGACGATGACAGGAAGATAAGACCATGGGTATGTATTCTTCAGCATGAGAATAATGCATAAGCAAAATGCTGCCATCATGGTTAAAATGGACAAGAAGAGTGTAGAAAGTCCTATGATCAACTTTTTTGTTAAGGATACGAGGAAGTCTCCTTCAGCATAGCGTGAGGTAAAAACCCCTAAAAATGTCATCACAGAAGTTGTTGAAGAAAACAATGACAATGCATCTGAGATGATAAAGAGTATAAATAACTTGTCTTTCAAAAACATTGGGTAGCCAGTGTTTTGATCATTCCCTCCTGGAACAGTAAAAGCTGCTGCAAACATGATGGTAACAATCAAAGCACCAACAACAGAACAAGATGATGCTGTATCCTTCATCCATTTTTCTCCTGCATCCCTTAAATCTTTCTGAGTTTCTTTGAATATGTCTTCTGGTCGTTTACCCTTTCTATTTTGAGATACCCTAAGTCCAGGAGGTACCACCCTTTCAACTTCCTGCACGCATTTATTTCATAAAAATACATAAAATAGTTATATATGTATGGATGAAAATTTACCCGAAAGTTTTCACTAACGAACGCTAGGCACTTGAAAGTTTTTTTGGGGTGCAAATTTGTGTTAAAAGCTTAAAATCATAGTAATGTTACTCTCTATGGTTAAAAATGTTAAGAGTTAACGTCACCATCCAATGAAACTTTCAAGGTGCCTGGCACTCGTGAGTGAAAACTTTCAAGATATATTTGTACTTTAACCTTATATATATATATATATATATATATATATTCCTAACCTTGAACCATTGCATTTCTCTTTGCATCTATAGAGCCACGCCAGAGACGTGATTAAGTTGATTAGAAGGAACTAGCTTGGCTGCAACATGCAGCATGCAATTTCTAGAGGTATCTACCACTGATGCTACCAAATTCTTGAAGCGATACTCGTGGATTAGGCTTAAAACCTCAGCTTGTCGATGTTGAATAGCACGGAAGAAAGTGTTCCAATTTCCTGAGCTTGAAGTGAACTGAATTAATTGTGGGTTTGTTTTTGATACTTCAGACAAAAAATCAACAAGCCCTTCTTTGGCCGCAAGGTCCAGTGTATTTATGACCATGTCATGTTGTTGCTTATCCAAAAGAGTCGCCCTCCGACAAAGTAGTTTAAGAATTTGAGATGCTCGTGCATGTAGTAACTTCAGCTCATATATTTCCTTCACTCCTATACATATATATATATTCACAACTTACGTGTAACTATTCTAGGTATAGGGTATGAAATTTCTAAAGGAAATTAAGTTAGCATATGATATGATATACCTAACAAACTATAGATGCCTGAGATGAACCAATGTGGTAGACCATGCCCTGTTGCAAGCCAAAGGTCCCACTTAAGTGTGAACATCTAGAACTCAGCCAATAGTAGTTGACATTCAGAGATATCTTAATTAATCTCTCTAAGTATAAATACCTTGAATGCTTTTAACGTAGCCTTCTTGTTGAATGTCCACATAAACATTATGGGTTGTTGTGGTTGATGGCATAGGTGTAGCTTCCACCAAAAAGAGAGACAAGAGAAATGAAGAAAAATGAGCGTCATTTAAGGTGAAATAGGAAGTAGTTAGAAGACAAAAGAAAGTTAAGAAAAATGATTCCATTCATTGTTTCACCTGTTTAATTCTACTTAATCACTAGACATTTAATCCTGCACATGCAAACATGGTCTTGGCCCCCTCTTTCAACTTATTGTATTTTGATGTTGGGCCTGCCATTGCACTTGTTTCACAGGCCTTGTGATTATTCAATAGATTGAGAGAAGCTTCCTTATTGACTTATAGTTTAATAGTCTTCCACATTTAGATAGGAGAGGATGTTATAAGTGATTATTAGAGATGTGCAGAATTAAACTGGGAGAAAACTTAAAATACACTTCTTTTTTTGTCATTAAATTTTGTAATAATAAGTATATAGATTCTGTAAAGTAGTGATGAGACTCACGGTGATAAATCCATTTTTTGCAGAATCCAAGTTGACTTGCTACGCTCTCAACCGCAGAAGGCATGATTGCTATACTCGCAACTGCTGTCCAATTGGTGTGGTCTGCAGCAAAAATGATGTCTTCATATTGTTCAAGTAGATGCAGAGCAATATCTGTTTATTATAGTCATAGCAAGATGTCAAACAAATAAACAAAATTAGATAGACAATAAAATGAATACAAGTATTGACTTAATTATTCGTGCTAGCTAGAAAGAAGCTACCGATATTTTGCTTGGTTGATAAAGTTGTGAACCCTACCAACAAAGGAAGGCATCAATATGTTTTTATATACTACTTTTCGTCCTAAATATAAGAGCTAGTTTGTAGGGTTTGTTACCTTACAAACTAGCTTTTATACTTAGGACCGGATATAGTATGCTTGCTCTACAATTAGCTCTTATATTTAGGAACGAAGGTAGTATGTAAGGTTGGTTACCAAGTTCACCAGCTTCGAAACATGCACGAAGAAGTCAAGAACCTAGATAGCCATTTTCGGGTTTGAGGACTTCCAATGGGGTTTCCTTGTAGAGAAAACTTCCCATTTCTTTCTGGCCAGCATCAATAGCCAATGCAACAGGAAGATGAAATCTCAAGTCTGGAATGCCAAGGAAGTTTCTATTTTTATCAAGCATGCATTTTGCAATTTGAGTGTCTCCAGTGGATGCAGCAATTGCAAGTGGAGTAGAGCCATAATCGTCGACTATTTCAAGGAATTCTGGGCTAGCTAATTTCACCAACTCCTCGACTACTTTTAAATGTCCAAAAAGTGCAGCCACATGGAGTGGTGTTCCATTTGTTGCTGTAACTTTCGCAGTCAAGGCCCTTGGATGTCGGCTAAGGAATTCTTTTGCTGCTTGCCAGTTGTTAGCGCATATAGCATTGTACAAAATGGCCACATCACAAGAACTTGCTCCCGTTGCATTCACTGTAACTAACCAATAATTCAAGTGTGTGTGTGTATCAACAGGAGTAGTAATTAACTTTTCCATATCAATATCTCCTAATTGAGTTGTTTTCCCATTACATAATTGGGAAAGAGCTATGTATAAATATAAGAATTAATGTGCTAATTTGTCTCATAAGTTTTTACTCAGGAACATTGGGCATCCAGACAAATTTTTGAGTGCAAATTTGCCTCTAAAATTTAAAATTGTAACAATATATATTGCCTCATCACGTTAAAAAACTAACGTTAACTGTTAATAACAGTAATGTTGTTATGATTTTAAGCTTTCAAGTAAATTTATACCCCAAAAAAAAAAAACTTTTAAGACCTTCAGGGCAAATTTGAATCTTAACCCTATATATAATTAATGTTACCAGATGGTTTGCGGGCGAAGTTGTGACGGAGAATGCGCTAGACAGCCTTGGCTTCGGTGACTCCTTCTATGAGAAGGCGAGTCTCAGGCGAACATGAGATGCGTAAGATGCGCAATGCTTCTTCATTCTTTTTTGTCCGGGAATCATCTTGAGGAGGAGTTGCATCATCAATCATTACTCCCCAAAGATGGTGAACTATCAAATAGTTTTTAACCAAATTAAACCACTCTCCAGAGTTCTTCTCCGTAAGTGGCTCTATAACTCTGTCGTTATAAACACATGTCTCAGCCATGACTCACTTAATCTGCAATTGGAGATAGATCAATTGAAGTGCATTTCAAATTATAGCAACGGTTATTACGGAGCAGACAAAGAGGTCCAATTAATGCACTTACAAGTCGTCACTTGCTCTCCGAAACGGAGAATCTTCATAGCGACATTATATGGTATTAGTGAGCAGAAGGAACGTGTGGTTGCTTGTTTCAGTTGCCATGAATCATTGACTTTATACATCCACCCACATGCACGTTATCTTTATTCCCATCCTTTTCTGATTCTAATGTCACCTGTCGCCTTTGTACCAAGCTGTCTCAGTTGGAAGTTACTTTTGCGCAGAATTATTTCTAGTCAACATTCCGTTGCATTTTAATGATTAAGATTAAAGCAAAAATACTATAAATAATCATTGATTGGAAGAGGGAAAAAAGAAAAGAAAAAGAGGAACATATGTGAAATTCTTTATGTACGTTATTAACAGTCAATCACTTTTCTTATCACGTACGCCCTAAGAATTTTGGGGTGACTCGCATGAATGTGAAAGAATTCTCGTTCCTTGAGCAATAATATATCAATAAACACTTGACATAACAATTGTAATAGCATTCATAATATCATAATTACAGTAAAAATCTTGAGCATGGATATAAAATTTTAAATAATAAATGAACAAATTCCTCAACTATCATCAAAATATGAGGCCATTAGTAGAGATTGCGCCTGAGTCTCCTCTATTACTTAGAGTTTCCAAACAGTTCTAAAATTAGCCTACAAGTACCACATAGTATATGGAGCTCCGACCCATAACAATAAATTTAATGATAAGAGCACGGGGATCCCATCCATAGACTATATGAAGCATCTAAGTAACAAAAACAAATATATACATAAATGTAAACTTGGATTTACATCAAGTAACAGTTGCTTCAAAATATATCTACAAATTTTGGTCAGTAATGACGGTTTTCACTGTTCAATTGGAGGTGCAGGGCTAACAGTGCTATTTGAAGCCAAAATAATTTATAAGTAAATATAAATGATTTTTTTTTAGAAAATGCAGAAAAAATTATGTAAATATAAGTTTGTAAAATAAATGATTTAGTGTTGCTTTCAATTTCTGAGTAAACAACTAAAATATAAATATATATATAAAGCATTTTTAATATACAAAAATAACTAAGTATTTAAACAACTTGTTTATAATCAAATAACAAAGTAATGCAAAAAACGGTTTTTTCAAGTTGAGGACTTCAACAGAATGAGCAACAAGCAAAGACACACAATCCACAGGAGCAAATAATCAATAAGCACAATTGAAGTCACAAATACAAGCATGAGAGCGAGGCCCAAGAATACCAGGTGAGCCTAATACTACTTCCGGTCCTAATTATAAGAGCCAGTTGACTAATTTGAGGAGATTAAGAAAGTAAGTTAAGTTGGTTATTTGTTCTAAATAGGTACTATCTTTTCTAAAATATACTTGCTAATCAAATGTATTAACCAAAACTATTATTGTTAGAAGGGCTACTTTGGAAAAAATGTATAAATATGAAAGACAAAATGGATTGGAGTCTTATATTTAAGACCAAAATAAAAGTTAAACAAGGTCTTATATTAAGGACTAGAGGTAGTATTAAGCATGATGTACTAATACAACCGCAGCTGAAACCACTAACAACAAGCACGGATGAAGGTATGAATAACAAGTGCAACTGAAGCCATGGATAACAAGTAAGCTTGATATTAATTAACCATGATATCCCCCAAGGGGTAAAAATATTGCTGTTAGTAACCAGTAGTATTCTGTTTTTTTTTAAAAAAAACCAATATTCTGTATTTAATCCTCTAAAAAAGCATTTTCAAACATGTATATGGGGTTAATTTACCATTAGTAAATAAATACTTTTCCCTCTGTCAATGAAAACTCGTAAAAAGAACATTGCGTAATAAGAGACATCAACATGAAAGTTCACAAAATCTTAAATATTCCCTCAAATTCTGTCAGTAAAAAAAAAAAATCTCAAATAATAATAGTTGATACAACAACATTTCAAAATGTAAGATAATCTCAACCTGGAAACTTTATAAAGGATGTCTCAATAGTTTTCTTATCACTTTCATGTGCAATTGTAAATTATGATATAAATCAATTGAAGAAAAATAAAGAACAAAAAATAAAGTCATTAATAAAACAATAGTCAGGAAATTTGGGAGTTTAATTAAAACTATAAAAAAATAGTAAAAATGTTATAAAAAAAATAACATGGGGCGCACGCACCTATTGTCCTTTCAAAGGTATAACTTATTACTCCTATTTAATCTTCTTTAATTTTTGGATTATGAATTCTCTTCAATCCCCTAAAGTCTCAAAACAAAAGCATTAATACTCAAGTCAAAACTTTTATATATATATATATATATATATATATAATTCGTACCACCTTATTCTATAGCCCTTCTCATTCTATTTCATCATGATAATCCTTTCACACACACATTCAGCTTCTATAATCATCGACATAATACCTTCATAAACCACTTGCCATAATCATTTTGACTGTTAAAATTACACCATCTTATTCCTCGAAATGCAAACCTTTAAAATAGAAAGAAAACTTGAGCATTAAATTCCCCAAATACATATGACATATTTATGTCTAATAACTTTGTATTAGCGGTAACCATGAAACAATAGCAAATCTTATTTCCCAATCCACTCAATGGGACACTTTTCATGAATGACTACCAGCTAAAGTCTTTCTTTATTATTGTTTTTTTTTTCAATTCTTAATTGCATGTCAGTACGGAAATGAAACACCAGGCCAACATAATATGATCAAAATTATCATCAATAAAAATAATTAACCATAAACTTTTTTGGCCAAAAAATCAATTTTATAATATTAGGGGAAAAAAACAATTACACACACTAATAGCCGAAGCTAAATGAACTTCATAAATTAGTATATGAAAATGAAAACTTAGTCTTTGAATTGTCAATCAAATAGCCTTTTAATAATCCATTAATTTCAATTACAAAATTCTTCACCTTGATATAATTTCATCAAAATTTAAATTTTGAAGTTAGAGAGATTTTCTTAACCATAAATATTCAAGATGATATCTTTCAAAATAGGAAAGATTTTCTCAAACTTGATATAATTTCAAATTTTAAATTTTGAAGTTGACGAGATTTTCTCAACTATACCTTAAATTTCAAAAATTTAATTTTAAAATTAGTGAGATTTTCTGGACTGTAACTTAAATTTCAAAGATTCTTAATCTCCTTAAACCTAAGTTATAATTAAATTAGTTAATAATTTGTGGATCTTAAGAATAATTATGAACTTTTGTAAATATATATATATATAGAGGACATATTAACATACAAATAAAATAATGATAACAGATCTGACCACTCCTTTCCTTTTTCTTTTGGCAGATCAAAGCAATTGATTACATCAAGAATAAAAAGAAGAATCTATAGAAAATAAGAGCAAACAGCGATGATGCACCAAGAGGCGAGAGTTTAACAAGAAGTTTGCTTTCGTTTTCTTTTGGGGAAGAAACTATAGAAGTTTCCGTTTGTTTAGAAGTCATAATCAAACTCCTAAAAATATAGCCGTAAGAATACAACCTTAAAGAGCTCAACGAAACAATAAATCAATGAAAATGGCAGAAAGGGAATACAAAAATAAAAGGAAACACATATATTCTTACTTCGAGATTTCTGCCACAGAGAATTCTCCTTTTTGTTCTTTAATTTTTCCTGGATTAGAACACAAGAGCATAGTTAAGCAAAAAAGTATACGACAAATATGAGATTATTAAAGCGATCAACAATGAATTCATTGATTATTAGAACGAGCTCCGTGGTGTAAGTAGTCAATATAACAACTGAGATAGAGAATACAAATTAAAAGGAAATACGTTATGTATTCTCACCCTTTTGATCTTCAAGAGAGAACAAAAGAGATTACTTGATCAGAAGACAAGAGGACGCAGAGCAGATGAGCCGATGAGCAGAGTGCAAGAAGGTGATATGAGAGAGGGGTTGATACACAGAACGCAATCTGATTCGAATTTTGAAGACACCAGCAGTCTTGTTAACTTAATTAGTCAAAGTCTTCAAAGTCTTCAGCATAACTTTTTTTTTTTGGCGGGAATCCTCCACTGGTCACTTACTGCTATTATTATAGTCGTCGTCGTCATCATTATTATTTGGAATGTCAAATCACAGTCACCTCAAATGGTGACTGTGAAGAATCCTATGTACTATATTTTGCCTTGGAAATTCATATATGTGCACTCCGAAGCCTAAATGTAACTCGTCAGGGAAAGTTTTGGTTTTAAATGTAAGTGATTTGTAAAATATTAAATGTTTATTTATTAATTTTATTTTTATTTAATTCTCAGTGGAAAGAAAGAAAGGAAAGAAAAAAAAAATATGAGAATGATTTATAAATATAAAGAGAGAATAAAGATAAAATTAAAAAAATTGTCAATTTAATATATTTATTGACATATACAAATGTGTTACAAGTGATTTATACCGAGAACTAGAGCAGTACTCCTTTTAGTCCTTTTTCTAAGATCCCAAAATTTGAACTGATTTGATCATTTTTATAAGATGCTACCTACGTGTGTCTGAACGTTAAGTGTGTTTTTAATGATTTTACCTCTAATTAATTTTCTGTTCCCTTTCCTTATCATTTGCGTACACTGCATTATCTTTCATTCTTTGTCTTATTAATTAAGATACTACTCTGTCTCTTATTATAAAATCATTTTAACTAAATTACGCAGTTTAAAAAAACAGTTAAAATTAGTTAAAAACAATTAATATATAGCAAATGTAATTTTTTCCCAAATATATCCCTATATATAAATGAGTAGATGTGAGAGAGTAATAGTGAGATAAATAAAAAAAAAGAATGTATTAAATACATTAAACTAGGGGTAAAATAGGTAATAACACATTAAATGTTTAGACAAACTCAAAAAGGATCTTATAAAAAGGGACAAACCTATTCAAAAAATTAGATCTTATAATAAGAGACGAAAGGAGTACTAGTATTTCTAATTAACAAGTTGTTGTTTGTGCTATTAAGCAGTCTCATTCCCCTAAAGAGAAGAATGCAAATTCGAATTCTAAAAAATATATTTGTTGGGAGGACTTTAATCATAATACTTCCAGCCTAACATAACTTAGTCTCAAGCCCAAAATAGTTTGAAGATATTCTGAGTTAAACCTAAAAAATACTAGTATTTCTCTCTCTCATTTGCTTCCTTATTAAATAAAGATAAACTTAAAAAAATGTTTTTTAACATATTTATTGCTTTCGA